GAGACGAGTGCGGGTTCGGCCAACTCCATCGACGCAGGGACAGCACGGCGAAATTGACACGAGTTGACTCGGAAACAGGACCACGTGCTTCTGACTCCGACACTTTTATATATATATCGTCGTCGGACATTCATAAATATTCCTACGTACGGTGTAGTTTAACTTGAGCGCTTAATTCGAGTCCACAAACTAAGTCACACAAGATTCGCTTATCGCTTCACGTATGTTTTAAATTAAACCCGAGAAAACTCGATTTGAAAATTTTTTGTAGGCCTAAATCACAGTGCTAAACGAGATCGTAACACCGGGGTGTTACAGTTTTCTAATTAAACCCTGCTGAAAACACAGATTCACCAAAACTCGTAGAAATTGTCAGTTTAAACCCCTAAGTCTATGTTGGTGATCATTTTCATGCATTATCTCAGGTCATATTGATGTTTATAATGGTCGGTAACTACCGTCAATAATTCCCCCAAGCTTAACCTTTGCTAGTCCCTTAGCAAAACTAAACTTAGCACAAATCAAAAATTTAGGGTCGTAACAACTTCTCAAAAGTACACATGTATTCAAACAAGAACTCTCCTCCGAATTAGACCAAACCAATCTGACTTTCAAACTTACTCATATTAACTTTAACCATGGGACTTATAGCCTTCACTTGGGTCTTGAGCAATTAAAAGACAGAACTATCAAGTCAAGCACTATGTCTCATGTTCTTTGTTCAACCATTTTTCCAAAGTTTTATAAGTTTTCAAAATAAAAACTCAAAGATTCTTTTGTATGCCACTCTCAAGTCTCTCATATATGTGGTATTTATGAATCCTCACCAAGGCAATAATAATAATGTTATACCTTTTTCTTCTCCTATAACTAATGCTTATGTCGAGCTCATAGGAAGGGTAAATGCATGAAATAGCATACTTGCAATACATATATTGTAAAGTCAAACCTCGGATCCAAAGAGAGTTAAATCATACAATCAAATCAAGATGTGCATATGTATGGAATATGATGGATATATATGGTAGTTAACCTAATTCTACTATGCTCCTTGAAAATATATCTCTCTTTTAAAACTTGAAAATATTTGCAAGAAAGCATGGCCTATCTTATTCATATCTCTTTTTTCAGAAGGGCATCTAAGTACCCATTATTTTGATAATTCAGACACTTATCCATTTTTTTCTCAACTCTTCTTTTTTTATGAATAACTTTTGTATAGCCACATGCTTCTCTCTGCATAACAATTGTTGGAGAGATAGTAACAAGAAATTAGTGCATTTATTTGATAGAAACCTATAAAGAATTTTTTTGGTGTTTTCTCCCAGTGTAGGAGTAAAACATTTTTAGATGAATCTAGATGGAAAACATGTTTTTATGTCTTCCCTCAATGTAGGAGTAGTGCATATGCGGGTGGTGTGTACTTGATCTTGATTTTAAGAGCATGACAAACCTCTTATAAGGCATCAACAAAGCTTGCCCACCCCCAAGAGGACGAAGGTGAGGAGGATTGGTCCTTGAAACACCCATCATGGGGCTCTTAATCCACTGACAAGCATATGAGGAGGAGGAAGGGAGGGGGTGCCGGCCCACCTACCCTCGTCGCCGACGAACTCGTGGGGAAGAAGGGTAGGGGGCCAGGGGACTAGCCACTAGGGGCGCTCTCTCACACACGGAGTATCTCTCACATAGGTTTCGCTATCATGCCCTCATTGGGTGATGGCCTGACTGACCACGAGGAGCAGGTGAAAAAGACCCCAACTGATACATGTGCAGTTAGACGCTACTATCGTCCCCATCAAATGTAGCAGGGAAACGCAGGGGGGGAGTACTGGCTGGAGCAGTAATTGAGATGCTATATGAGTCTGTCGTCTTGACCAACTAGTCACTAGCAGTAGTGAAGGGGTTGTACCTGTGAGATTCGATCGATCGTGGCTATCGAAATATATGTAGTGATTGTATCCAAACATCGACATTCATAAGGCTTTTGACACCGTTAATTAGAGCTATCTGCTGGAGGTATTGTTGGCCCTGGTGGGTTTTGGGCAACACTGGCATCAGTAGATGTCCATCCTCTTCTGCACGACCGCCTCAAGTGCGCTGCTCAATAGACAGCAAGGTCCAAGCTTTCAGTCATCCCGAGGAGTCAGACAAGGTGACCCCTAAGCGCCCATGCTCTTCAATCTGGCCATGACCCAATACATAACGTCTACTAGACCTTGCAACCCAACAAGGGATCAATCAACAGTGAGGTTTCATCAATACCAAGCTCTTCCACAAAGATGTGCTTGGCATAAGCTCTGGCAACACCACCGAGCACATCATAAAAGCAAGATTTTAGATGTGCTATTATATATTATTACGGCAATGGTAACATGGTTGCAGTCATAGATGAATACCGGGATGTAACTTTGGAGAGGTTAGCAACTTATTTTTTATTGCTTTGAAATCAAAATTTATCATGGAATTGACGGTAGTAATTAAATCATTAGATTCCCTTGTCGATAATGCTTAGACATGGGTGTCTGTCCGTCCGAACGCCGTGCGCCCCACTCCACCTCGCTGATGCCGCCTCCCCCACGCTGCGCAACCCATCCCACGCCGCTCGGTCGTCTCGCCGTGCTCCATCCCCCGCCGCGCCCACTCTGCCTCGCCGCGCCTGTCCCCCACCACTACATGTCGTTCCCCGTCCTCCTCCGTGCTGAGGTGCTTCCGCTAGAGCAGTTCCCCATCAAGAAGATCGTGGCTGCCGCGACGCGCAACCTCAGTAAGGAGATGTTCGTGTGAAAGCATATGTTACAAATGTATGTTTTAAGTGTTTTAGATATTTTAGAGGTACGTTGCAAGTGTTTCATATAGATGTTGCGAAAGTAGATTGGGATGTTGCATATGCTGCAAGTGTTTCAGAGGTATGTTGCAAGCATCTATTCAAAATATTTCATTTGTTTCAGACGTATGTTGCAAGTGTTTTATATGGATGTTGCATATGTTGCAGCGGCTATACACATATGTTGCAAGAGTATGTTCTAGATATGTTTCATCTGTTTTAGTCATATGTTGCAGCAAGTGTTTCATGTTGCAAGAGCAGACTGCCAGCGTTGATGTCAACGAGGGTGGCAGGGCCAGCCGCGGCCACCTGCGGCGCCGACGGTGTGGGAAAGAGGTGTAGGCCGCCCGACGCCAGTGTGGAAGAGGACCGCATGATTCCTCAGCAAAGGAGTCCAACGCGATGGAGGTGATTGGCGCTCGACGCGTCCACATGGGGATTGAGCCGGGATGATCGTGAAACAGTGATGCGGGTGGCGAGCGAATCCGAGTAACATAACCTGATCCAAGTAACATATAAAGGCACTTACAAAGCATTGTTTCTCACTTTGATGAAAAAACACGAAAGAACAAACTACTTCATTAACTTTATGTAATCTACGCTAGAGTAAAAGACATCCACATCAAATGGGCCTTCAAGTTCACTGAACTGGTGACTACATATGGCAACGGGGAACTCCTCGTCGAGGAATGACCCCCTATCTCATCCCTGCAGGATGACAAAATCCCTATCCCCCTCTCTGTGAAAGCTCAGGGGAGGGGGGGAGGGATTCTCTCCCTATCCCCGTCCCCCCACGGGGTCATCCCGCGTTAGTTATCTCAAGACCACCCATTCACATATTCACAAATTTGCATTAGTATAGCATAGAAACGAATCAATAATACAAACACATCACAAAACATAAATCACAACATATACACCACCATCGAGATCCATTCCAGCATGGTACCCTCAAAGCCACGCTTCAAAGCTCCAATCAACAGAAAAAATACATTTTCTTGGACGAGGGAAGGGCAAAAGACAACCAGAATGTACTAGGGAAATGTGAATGTGCCTGTGGTCCATTAGTAGAGCTGTCTAGTGGGACGTTACCCATCAAGATTCAAACCGAGGTGATCGTATCTTTTTCTGAATTTTTTTTTGAGAATTTTCAGGGTACACGCACGCGTGCGTGTTCGGTGATACTGCGCGTTTCCTGCGCACTGGACTAGAGACGACGCCTTCAACGCACGCGTGTGCGTTCGGTGATATTGCGTGTTTCCCCTGCACTGGACCAGAGACGACGCCTCCTAATCTCTTTTGTGTATACGGACGCGCACACGAGTATATGCGTGTGGTGTGAATGTGGTTTGCGTGGATCTAAGTGCCTGTTTAGTTCCTAAAATTTTGCAAAATTTTTTAAGATTCTTCGTCACATCGAATCTTTGGACACATGCATAAAGCATTAAATATAAATAAAAAATAAAACTAATTACACAGTTTAGACGAAATTCACGAGACGAATCTTTTAAGTCTAATTAGACTATGATTAGACACTAATTGCCAAATAACAACGAAAATGCTACAGTACTCCTCCTCAAAAAATTTCGCCAAGTAACCTGGGCCTAAACGGTACCCATTAAAAAAAAAAATACCAGGGAACTGCTGCCGTCCTGACACCGGGCCTTACCCCGTAAGGCACGCGAGGCAGCCGCTGGCGCGCGGGGCCCGCCCGCTTCCCCCGCCCCCGGTCGGTGGTGCGTTCCCATCCACCCGCTCCCGTCACGCGCTCCACACCGACCCAGGCGCAGGCGGTGTTTTGCTTGGCCTTGGCCTTGGCCTGCTCCGCCCCCGCCGCCTCGTCGTCTGGGCCTGCGCCTGCCGCCGCCTCGCCTCATTGTCTCCCCGTGCTGCCTGCGCTTTTGCCAGCGCGCGCCCCACCACCACCAGAAAAGAAATTCCCCAATTCCGCTCCATCCCGCGCGCATCCGGATCCGCTCTGATCGAGGTGAGGCCTCTCGAATCCGCACTAGATTCGTCGCCTGTCTCCTCACCCGAACCCGCGTGCTGATTTTTTCGTTTCTACCGGGGAAATTTGGGGTGGTTGGTTGGTTGGGTGATTTTGCTTCCCCGCAGGGTGGGTTGATTTGGACTCTGTCTGTGACTGCCTTCCTGTGAGGGAGAGGAGGAGGGCATGGACGAGTTCGAGCTGGAGGACAACCTCGAGTTCATCCTCCAGAGCATCCAGGAGCTCATGGAGGACCAGGGGGACAACAACGCCTTCGGCGACGCCAACCAGAACGAGCTCTTCGCCAGCCTCGTCAGCTACGACCAGGTCTGCTATCGATGTTTTCTTCCGCGTGTTGATTTCATCTGGGGACTCCTGTTTTGTTGGGGATGAAGTTTTGATCCCCTCTTCTCGTTGTTTTTTTTTTTCTTGAGGAATGTCTCGTTGTTTGTCTTGCAGGAGAACATGCTGCCCGACGTCTCTGCCGCGGACGTCGCTGCTGGGAAGGACATGCAGGGCATCCCGTGGGAGAAGATGCTCTTCGGGAGAGATAAGTACCGAGAGATGAAGATGAAGAACTACAGAAATTACCAGAACCTAAGTTACGCACGGGAGGATGCTTTGCAGGTACTCAACACTTGCCTGTTTCCTATTTCCCCCAATCGATGTCCACCCAAATTCGAATGTTCAACTCAGTTATACATAATACTCCTAGGTTGCTTCCACATAGTCATGAGTCTGTGGTACAGACGTGGTTATATACTGTGTGATTCTTTGGCTTCATGCTTGGTTTTTACATGCCAAACATTGACAATTTTAGGGTTATTGATCTTCTCCTGAATCGAACTTGTGTTGCCTTTTCATGTGAATCACAAGCCAAGTTACGATAATCAAACGTCTTATGTACACAAATTCGTTCAACATATCTAACCTAAATATTTAATTTCCTCAACTTTTTAGTGGTATATTTTGCTGACGTATTCCCTTCCCGACATGGCATTTAACACTACATTATTGTTTATTTCTGTATGTGGAATGAGATATGACATTGAAGGGCCCCTTTTGGTAGGGTTCTGGTTCTTAAATCTATGTTTCTGATTTGTTTTCTCCCCACAAATTTGTCTGGTGAAACAGAATCATTCATTTGGCTAGTTGGTGGGTTTGGATAACAATGGATTTCCATTGTGTTAAGAGAACCACGTTTGAGTAGTCTCCACAGAAATTGGCTGCAATTGAATTCCAGTTGGGACTTTGTTATCTATATTTTGCAGTGACCCAATGTTTATACATTTGGATATTTGGTACTTTGTCAATATAACCATAAGCATGCCAGCTTTGTTTTAGAATTTTGGCCCCGTCATTACTTCGAACTCATTCATATGATAGTTGTGGTACAAGAGTGAATGCGCGACCTACACCTACTCTTTTTTAATTACATTGACAATCAGTGATGGCAGTTCTGACTCCCATAACACTACACGTGAAAACTGATGGTTCAAACCTGTGATCTAGGTTGTTAGGAAAATGGACAAGATGGTATTCGTAACGGTTTACTAGATGGCAAATACTTGGCTAGGAAAGACTATCAAAAGATGGAGGTCATGGAATTAGGAAGGATATGAATGACAAGTTTAATATGATCATAAGCTTGCACTACTTTGCTCAAACACAAAATACACATTTATAATCGAATACAAAAGACTATATAAAGATCACCAAATTAGGAAGAATTACATGTCAAAAGTCATATCCATGGTTATCCGGTTCTGGGAATAAGAATAATTATCCATCTATAATTATGCAGTATCTGCTTTGTTATTTCTTTGAGATGCATATTATTTTGTTTTGGTTCGCAAAAAAACTCTTGAAAACATACTAACCATCACTACTTATCACTGTGTTACACTATACTGCTGATCTCATGTCTGAACCATATAAAAACACTACCGTTCGCTGCTATATTTCATGGGGCTGATCGTCATGCTTAGCTATGTCCAAATTTTATCTTGCAGTTCAGTTTTTTTTTTTCCATTCTTTCTTTTTTTTTTTCTTCTTGGTGGGCAGCAGAAGGCATGGATGAACTTTATGTAAGGTGGGTTTGATTGGGTACATGTGCTCATGCTGCTCATTGATGGGGATGGGTGCTAGCTTTTCATATCTACTATGGTCCAGGGTGGTGGTTTGGTGGGGGCATACATCATGATCCAAAATCGATGGGTTGAGATTGTGTGAACCTTTTTAATTGACCTAGTCTAAGCTGTACAAATTATTAAATTCCAGAAATGCTACTTAGATGTCAAAGACCGTCAGCTATCACTTCTATGTGAGAGAATATCTGGTTGGCTAATTGATTGCCAATCTCGATTAGCTAATTACTAGTATCCACTTCCAGTACAGTATGGAATGGCAAATCTCTTAACATGTTAACATAAAAAAAATTCAAATCATATTCCTGATTGTCAATGACTAGTAGTTACTTAATGCACAAAACAGGGAAGAGGGGTCATAATCCCTCCCTGACATTCATGCTCCATTTCAAGAAGTGGAAAGGGCCAGGTTGTAAGAAACAAGAATGGGATCTTCACTACAGTGCTAATCAACTATTTCATGTCACATAGTAATGGGCCAAATGTGTTAGTTGAATCAGCTATTTTGCATGGACCAAGGATAACAGTCACCATTTTCTTATTGTGAATATTTTGAAATTTAATATTCTTGGGGTACTGCTAGTCCGCCATTTGTTTGGGCTATGGATCAACCTACTTAAAGGTTTAGAGCAGTTTCAGATCATTACATGAGAGGTGCCCAGGGCATTAAAAGCAATATGAAAGTGTTACATGCTGATTTGTTTTTGAGAGTTCATTTTTCATGTCGGAGGCCCCATCTTTTCAGTTACATTACATACCCTAGTATCCTCTGTTTGTGTGTTCAGTATATTTGTGAGGTGGTAGAAATAGTTCTCCCTAGATCACTAGGTGGAAGCAAGTACACTGACTCCTGGTTATTCAATTGTTAGACTGGTTCCCATGATTTTCTTATTTATTTACAGCTAGTGGTCATAGATTTACTGTTCTACTAGGTTTCATCTGTTCACCCCAAATGATTTATGCTGAAACTCATACATGCATTCTCAGTGTCATTCAACGCAGCACTGTTCAGTCTTTATTATTGAAATGTAACTTCTCCAGCTCCTTACAATCTGTTTTTGTTTCTTTCTTGATCTCTCAGGAGTGCAAACAAGTGGAGAAGGATAGCCCTTACTATGATTTTCACTACAACACAAGGTGTGCGCGGCCATCAATTGTACATTTTCAGGTCTGATTTTCCTCTGTTGCATTACAGTCCAAGTTTTTGAGCAAAGTTATCATCAATCATGTTGTTTACGGGTTTGTTTGGTTTGAGGAATGATTTGTCCTTGGAGGCTTGTGTGGCCATTTTTTAGTGATTCTTGGCTGTCATCTTAGAAGATATAGATATGGAAGAAAACTATAGTCTTGTTTCAATCTCATGGATAAGTAAAACAGCTTTCACGAAACTAGTTTTTACCCAGTTTGCCAACCTTACCTTGATACTCGGAGGATAACTTAAAATTACTTTCTCGGATACACAACATTTTGGGTTTCAACTGAATCTAGGAAAGTATTTTTTTATGTATGTAAAAGAGAGTTACAACGTTGAACTACTTATGTTGTAGATTTTGCTTGAATTTGTTAGAACCAAAAATTTTTGGTCCAAGGAAAACTCGTTTCTAGTTGTCCTTATGTTGAGCATACAGGCAAGATTTTCCTAGAACTGTCCTAAAAGTAGCTCAATGAAAATCTGTTTGATACTTCTGGGACTTCCATTATTGATGATATATTAACAAGGAGTTGAAGATCTTATTGAATACAAAGAATTTATGTGCACTTATCCTATGCACATTAGTGTACTGCTGCTGACAATACTATAACCGATAAACTGCCTACTTGTGTACAAGGATAAGCATAACTTATTATGAGACTTTTGTTTTGCCTTCTGTATGGTCTTTACTACTCCCTCCATTTTTTTATATATGATGTTGGCTAGTTCAAATTTAAACTAACCAACGTCATATGTAAAAAGTGTAATTCTTAGCAAGTCTATGGTTCTACACATGCAAAAAAGGTTATGCTGTACATGTTGCCAAACTGTTTGCCTGTTTAAGAGATTTTTGCTTCTGTATGGGGTTTCCTAATCCTTCTAATCAATTCATGTTTTTGGTCGACATGCAAGGGGTGCTGTAGCATTTGCCTAAGGGGAAATGGAAGAACTCTTTTTTATTGAAGTTTACATTACTGCTTGTTACACGCACTGAAAGTTCAAAGAGCAAATCCACATATCACGTTCTCAATGATCTTTTTTGCATGATGTGTTGTTTCACAGCTACGGAACCTAGTATGGGCAACAACCAAACATGATGTTTATACAATGCATGATCAATCAGTGACACACTGGTCCTCACTCGAGCAGACAAGCACTGAGCTAATCAATGCTGATGATTGCATCGTCCCAAAACAGGTATACAACCTTTTATATTTTTTGGCATTCAATATTTCTGTGCAGCTTCATATTCTTTTTGGTTTGGTCTAAAGTATCCATTTTTGTTGTTGCACAGAGGGGGCATGGTTCACAGTCAGTGGCAATGGTTCAGGTCACAACAATGGCCGTGGATAGTAATTTATTGGTAGTTGGTGGCTTTCAAGGGGAGCTTATATGCAAGGTATTCCTACTGCGCAAATATTCTCCTACTTTGTGGTCTTCTACTTTGGTCTAGTAACTCATGACAGTAAATCTGACATTGTTTTTGGTATTTACCAGCGCTTGGATGATGATGGGGTTGTTTACAGCACAAGGGTTACAGATGATGAAAATGCAATCACTAACTCTTTAGAGATCTATCAGGATCCCAGGTAAGATTCGATGCTTTTCTGAATCAGTTATCTTCTTCATTTGGACTTGAGTTAACAGTTTGTTTATGAAATGTATATTTCAGCGGATCTCGAAGGTTGGTGGCTGCTAACAATGACTGCTCCATCAGGATTTTTGACACCGAGTACTTTGACCTCCTCAAGCACTATGTCTTCCCTTGGTCTGTGAATGTAAGTAGGCCCTTAACTGTTTTATGCACTGTAGTTTTATCCACTTATTTGGCTGCTAAGTTTTCTTCTCCAACAGAGTGTTTCTGTGAGCCCAAATGGGAAACTCTTCGCTGTCCTGGGAGATCATGAGGATGGTTGTGTAGTGGATCCCAAGTGTGGCAAGGTAAGTGAATGGATTTTTTTTTCTTCTATTAGTTTTGCAGGGCACAGAGCTATATCAGTATGTGGTTGATCCTAATATTCAACACTCACATATAATGTGTAGGCAATTGGTTCTCTTAGGGGTCACTTGGATTACTCATTTGCATCTGCGTGGCATCCTGATGGCAATATCGTGGCAACTGGGAGTCAGGACACTACATGCAGGCTATGGGACATCAGGAACCTATCGCAGTCGGTAGCTGTGCTTGGTGGAAGGATGGGCTCAATTCGGTGTGTCAAGTTCTCTTCAGACGGGCGTTTCCTTGCAACAGCAGAACCTGTGGATTTTGTCCACATATACGATGCTTATGCGGACTACAGCAAATCGCACGAGATTGACTTGTTTGGCGAGATTGGAGGTTTAGCATTCAGCCCGGACACTGAGGCCTTCTATGTGGGCCTTGCGGACCAGACGTACGGAGGCATGATCGAGTTCAGGAAGAGGCACCAACTTCACTACCTGAACTCCTTGTGGTGATAGTGATACCAACCACCGGAGCGGAAATTTGGTTTCGCAGTTGTTGGACCCCATTGTTGCACCGTGTGCTGAAGAGGAGTGCATGCGTGCATGGTCATACAGAGGAGAATTGGAAGCGTTTGCTGTTCTTAGTTTTTGGCTGCAGCACCGGGATGCAGAAGTGTATAAAATTCTTGGGGTTTCTTTCCTTGTTGCTAGTAATCTGGGTTTGTCGCATGACTTGTGGAACTGAAGGCGGTAGCATATGTATAGCCATTCTGTTTCTCGACACCTAACAATGTACATAGTTCGTGTCCGGAGATTATCCCCCCATTCACCGTTTGACTTAACATGGTGGAACATGATAACATGTAGTAGTAGGTTGAAGTCACCATGTTCGTTTGGTCGTTTGGGTTTGTTTAGCTTATAAGCCGTATTTTTTCAGTCAACGAACAGTATTTTTCTCTTACATTAAATCAGTCAAAAGTACGTTCAGCTATGGTTTATCAACCAAACAAGTCTAAGCGAACAAGCCGTATGTTCCTCATCGAATCGGGAGCTCTGCAAGATTGCAATCAAAGACTACCAGCTTTTATCGGCTGCGGCAACTACTGGCGTTGTTGGTCTGCTGTTGGTGCTTGCGTTGCAGTAGAGCAGCAGCACGATGGTTGATTGTCTATTGATCAATGTGTCGATGAAGAAATGTGACAGGCGCCCTACAGTCTACATAATACCAGTTCGTTTTTCGGCGAAACTTGGCAAGCGATCGCTGCTTGAACTTTTCCTATTTAGGCGTTTGTCTTTGACATTTGAAATGTTGTCCCCCATCCTCTTTTGACAGACCTTCTCTTTGTTCTCTGCAACTGCGGTGAGAAGTGAGATTCACATCCACCTCTGACGAGATCGATCTTCTACGAGAAGTTAGGGTTGTGATTTAGAAGGAAGATTAAGGCTACGTTCGGTTATCTCGGAACGAAGACCCGAAACCAATCCGGCCAGGAATACATGTGTAATTTGTATAACGACCGGAATAATTCCGGCCGGAAACGGCCCATTCCGGAGAAAGCGAACAAGGCCTAAGGGAACCGCGATCTGCGACCGCGCAGTGGATATCCTATCTGTCCGCGTAGTGGGTATTCTATCCGTGGCTCTGAGGCCCTGTTTGGTTGGATTTTTCCGATTCTCGCGGTGGGGCGTCTAAAAATCCGACTATAATCAGTTCAGAACAGGGCCTAAAGGAAGGTTTTGTCTTGGTGCTGAGGTGGTTGGTTGGTCGAACGGTGAGATCGAACTTCTGGAGCAAGTCGGTCAAAGCTTGTTTGGCTTGGCTAACTACAGCCTGCCGGGACATTTCTGTCTGCGAAATGGACGGTTTTTTATGGGCTTCATGGCCCCGACGATGCCGAAGCTGCGATGAGGCCCTTAGTGGATTGAGCCCGCTAGCGCGGTTGGTGGGCCAGATAGAGGCATGGGGGATTTTTTTTTAATTTTAACACTTTTTTAAACTAATTTTAAATCTAACATTATTTAATTTTTTTCTCTCCAAAACTAACACTTTTGACCGCCCCTATTGCCATGGCGCGACGAAACGCCTGTGCCGCGCCATGCATGGTGGCGCGGCTGGTGGATGACGTGGCAACGACCGGGGCTGCTGACCGGTGACGTGGCAGGGCCTACCGCGCCACCGATGCACCCTAATCGGTGGCGCGGCAGCGCCAGGTACCCCTGCCGCATGCATGCCTGCACCTGCACACACGGCAATGCAACGTCAAATCAAGTCCAATCCAAACCCAGGCTACCATGCTATCATGCTATACACACGGCAGTGCATAGCTGTGCTTCCTACTCGTGCCAATATCATGCTATACTACGCCTCTACTAGTATGCCTGCCCCATGCTACTGGCCTATGTACTGTATGTAGACGGCGGGACCTCCCTTCCTTTGTGCGCTCGATCTATCCAACTCAATCCGTGTTTTGTACTACTACTAGTAGATTGAGCTATCAATTATTTATTTTTATATTCTATTCTAATCAACTTTAAAACTACGTACGGTCAGACAGAAATAGTGTAGCCAAACGGATAGACTCGTTGGTTGGACATTGATTTCTTTTTTGCCACATATAAATCTGGATTCGAATATTGGAATACGAATGCAAAACAAATAAAAGTTGGATACATATGGTAGCATCCGGATATCTAATAAAAAATTAAAAGTATATAAATAAATAACTATTTCAATCAAATATAAAACATTCATAAGGAAACTAAGGATGCAAAAATATTAGTCAACGGCAAAAAAACAATAATGAATCAATATATGTAAAATTTAAGAAAAAAATAATAAAATAATGAATCGATATACGTAAACTCTGGCAGGGGTTTCCGGTTGGACGTAATAGTACATGGCACACCGACACGCGCGCTGGTCATAGATTGAATAGGCGCAGGAGAAAATTCATTCACACCCAGAAGCAGTACGAGTAGGCCAGTACCATGGGGTCCTTAAGAGTACTAGGGTGGAAACGGTATCGAGCTATTTATCCGTCTTGTCTAAATTTATATTCGACAAATCTTAAATTTGGATATCTGTATATTTCGCATATGTTTTTGTATAGAATATAGATGCTGAAATGGATATGTCCCTATTTATTCCACATAACTTTTCTCTCTCTCTCTATCCAATTTTAGTTTTCATATTAAAGAAACCCAAAATATCCAACGATAATGAATATGATGAAACTATTTAGAAAATATGATGACATATGATTAATGACTAGTGCTATAAAATTTAATATTGAGATATAGATACTAAGTTTATTTCAATGTTGACTTGATTTAGCTTATATTTGTTGTTATAAAGTTTACGTATATCGATTCATTATTTTATTATCTTTTCTTAAATTTTACATATATTGATTCATTATTGTTTTTTTTGCTGTTGACTAATATTTTTGCATCCATACTTTTGTATTAGTTTCCTTATGAATGTTTTATATTTGATTGAAATAGTTATTTATTTATATTATTTTAATTTTTTATTAGATATCCGGATGCTACCATATGTATCCAACTTTTATTTGTTTTGCATTCGTATTCCAATATTCGAATCCAGAGTTATATGTGGTAAAAAGAAATCAATGTCCAACCAACAAGTCTATCCGTTTGGCTACACTATTTCTGTCTGACCGTATGTAGTTTTGAAGTTGATTAGAATAGAATATAAAAATAAATAATTGATAGCTCAATCTACTAGTAGTAGTATAAAACACGAATTGAGGTGGATAAATCGAGCGCACAAGGGAAGAGAGGTCCCGCCGTCTACATACAGTACGTAGGCCAGTAGCATGGGGCAGACATACTAGTAGAGGCGTAGTATAGCATGATAGTGGCACGAGTAGGAAGCACAGCTATGCACTGCCGTGTGTATAGCATGATAGCATGGTAGCCTGGGTTTGGATTGGACTTGATTTGACGTTGCATTGCCGTGTGTGCAGGTGCAGGCATGCATGCGGCAGGGGTACCTGGCGCTGCCGCGCCACCAATAAGGGCGCGTCGGTGGCGCGCTAAGATCGGTGGCGCGGCAGGCTCTGCCACGTTATCGGTCAGCAGCCCCGGTTGTCGCCACGTCATCCACTAGCCGCGCCACCATACATGGCGCGGCACAGACGTTTCGCCGCGCCATGGCAATAAACGTGGCCAAAAGTGTTAGTTTTGAAAAAAAAATTAAACAATGTTAGATTTAAAATTAGTTTAAAAAGCGTTAAAATTAAAAAAATCGCATCGGAAAAGTTTGGTTTTTTTTTATTGCCTCGACCTTTGATTACAAGTTGTACTCACGCACTAACTAACACCATACGTACACACCCTAACACACGCCTCTAGTGCGCAAGCTAGACCTACGACCTATATGTAAGGCCAAGAAAACAAGGCTGAAAAATATGACAGTGGTGATATATCCGTGCAAGATAACTAGAATTATTAATGGAAACACTGTTCCTGGTGAGACACCCGGTGCCGAGGCATCGAACCCGGGCGGGTGGCCTGCACACCCGCAGCGCACACCTTCTCTGGGCAAGTTTGATGCGATCAGGAAGAACGATTGGCTTGTGACTGCGATGGAGGTGGTGCCGGGGCGCCGGGGCGGGACGGCAAGGTAACAGGGCTTTGCCGTCTGCGTCTGGAGTGGCGAGGATGGCTAGGGAAGGAGGCGTGTGGATGACGACAGTGCGTTGTTCAGACATAACATAGGCGTCGCGTCGTCGGCTTAGTGAGGAAGAAGAAGGCCGGCAAGAAGAAGGATTTCCGGATGGAGTATGGATGGAGATAAAAAATTGGATATCGAAAATGTGACATGATGCCCTGATGTGTAATGTAACGTCGATGGACTCCCTTCTTGGACAGAAATGTGAGAGCCAGCAGAGAGCAACAATCCCTGCAGCAACAGCACACCAGACTGTTCTTGGCTGTCCTTCGTTCCCACCTACTAGTAACAAATAAATTGTCTCCGTAACAAGGAATCTTGGCGGTCATCTTCGTTCACCTCTGCTGAAGCGGCATCCGTCCGTGGGCGCGTGTGCATGCATCAACCCGCAACCGCTTGACCAGCTGCACTGCACTCTGCAGTGTAGCATTGTTTTGATCAACGATAAAACCGACGCAGGATAAAGATTAGCGTCGTCGTAGCGTAATAGCAGAAGGCCGAGAGCAGGTAGGACTGTAGGAGACAGCAGAGAATCCGAGACCTGGAACCCCATAAATTTTTTTCTTCTAATGTAATACTCCTATATAATATAATAATATGGTACGTTGAGGTCCAGCTCCATGTGAGGCTGTGGCTGCTGATTCATGCACCTGCCTAGAGATGTGCGAATCTTGGCAGTGTCGGTGGGTGCAACAGATCGAGGCAATGCGAGCTTCAAACCAACGCATATACGTATTGTAACTTTATTATTTGCTTCATTTGCTTTTTGAGTGATCTTGAGTGGAGCATGTGCAGTGTGAATGCATCTCTCGCAGTC